CTCTTTCTGTTAGTCAGTTTTCGTCAAACTAAGAAAGGGATTAATTGCTCAATGGTCATGAAGTTGGATTTGAACAAAGCATACGATAGCTTACACTGAGAGGATGCCAAATCCACTAAGTGCTTTAATGCCGAACAAAGAAAGGTAATACCAAGTTACCAAGTGATGTACTCCGATCCTTGGTTATAGAGACCTAACCTTCTGTTCAAGCACTTCTTCATTGGATTGATGAGAGAATAACTTTGATGATCTACCTTCAATCTATCCTTTATTGGCTTTCACTCACCACAATATCCCGTCGCTAAGAGCAACAATATCAGAAGATAATTTCGGTATAATTCACGGTTTTTTAGATTGAGTAAGCCACTAGGAAGAGTGAGAAATAGGAGAGAGAGTAGATCAACTCCTCTGCAAGGAAGAGTTATTTCTTAAGCAAGTGCTGTGCGCGTTTCGCGCACAACAAAGCTTCAGCGCGCCTGACGTCTGATCTTTATTTATTTATTTTTTTCTAAAAGCAGTTTTTGTATTTTTTTTTTCTCTTTCCTCTCATATTCTCTTTCCTAATCACTTTTATAAAAACTCTTCAAAAACCACAAATAAATTCCACCATTGTGGATGCTCTAATGTTGTTAACGCCCAGAAGTGTAATCCATACGGTGTCCTTAAAGTTTCAAACTAGAGTACACGGATTGAATACTTTGGCATTGATCTTCGTATTCAATCGATCACTTGATTTAGAGGTGTAGAATATAATGATGTTCAAACATAATTCCTCTCAACAGCTCATCTCTCTCTTTGGGTTCTCTCAGATTAGATTGACTATCTGTTCCACCTTTCTTGAATTTCATCTGAGCCCTTGATTTTCATAACTTTTTAGATCAGAATGAGCGAGTCAGATTCAATTTGTTTTCTTTGCTCCATTTCATTTGAGCCCTGGATTTTCATAACTGTTAGATCAAAATGAGTGGGTCAAATTCTTTGCTCCTTGAGTCAATAACCATTTCTATCTTTGAATTCGACTTCTACTGTCTAAGTATCTTTTGAAGAAATGCAATCAACAGTCGAATAAACCATCTAAACCTATGGACTCTATTGACTCTTATTATCCTATTTTGTGTTAGAGTAAATACCCAAAATGGTCCCTCAACTATAGCTAAATTCACAAATTGGTCATCGATTTTCAATTTTAACCAATTAAGTCCTTAACTTTGTAATTTTAACACGATTTGGTACTTCGAACACTTCTGCATTAACGCCCACGCCCGCGCCGTCATCGACGATCTCCAAAAGAACCTGTAGCTCTCATCGGAGCACATGGAGGCCTCCAGGATGACGCTGCACCGGTTTGTAAACACCTTGTCTTCTTCACTCTGGTACGAACTCAACTACATTGAATCCAAAGGGAGGATGAAGAAAGGCGACAGGATTTGGCAGATTGCTTTCGGCGGTGGATCCAAATGTAACAGTGCGGTCTGAAAATACAACCGAAACCTTAAATAATCGACGATGGATCATGAGATTACATATGTATCCTCAAAAATCACAGTCAACAAACGGTCAAATAGACAAAGGAACAAATCGTGTTAAAATTGCAAAGTTAAGGACTTAATTGGTTAAAATTCAAAGTCAAGGACCAATTTGTGAATTTAGCTATAGTCGATGAACCATTTTGGATATTTACTCTAATATGGCCTTGTTTGGTAAATGACTTTTAGTTGATAGCTATTAGCTGTTAGCTGATTTGGTTAATTAGATGACATAACTAGTTGATAACATTAGCTAATTGTAGAAAAGTGTTTGGTAAATTGGTTGTTAACTGATAATTGTTTGGTATAATTTTTTTTTTTAAAAGCTAATTGAAAAAGTTGCTTGGAGTAGCTTTTTGAATTTTAGCATTTTGAAGTTACAAAAAGCTAATAAACCAAACATTTATATTGATTTTTTAACTAAATCAAACAATTAATAGTGATCAAATAAGCCAAAATTGACCTATATGCCAACTATTTACGAAACAGGGTCATAATAACTAAGGGTGTGTTTGGTTGGTGGGTTTTGCCCATAGGAATGGGTATCAAAGTGATTGTTGTTGTTTGGTTAATAGGTTTTTAGAACACTACTATGGGTTTCGAATACCCCATCAATTGAAAAACTCATACCCAAATACAATAAGGGTTTCATTCCCTTATTCATTCTTAACCACTACTATTAGTAACCATTCTCATTCCACCCTACTATCAAACATGTTAAATACTTTCACCAAGACTCATTACCATTATCAAGTATTTGATACCCATTCCGATTCCGATTCCTATGTGCGAACCAAACACACCCTAAGCCAATTGCACTTGAAGTTCTCATTAACCTATCAACACTAACACATCTCATGTTTTGCGAGGAAGCAAATTAAATTATGATGAACTGTGTGAATGATTTCTAAATGAGATCAAGGCTTAAATCAATTTACACAAATCACAAGTTTTCTATTCGCTCAACACAAGATGAACTGTGTGAATGATTTCTGAATGTTTTGCCACTTTTGCCCCAAGAGGGCCCAAGGGCCCTCAAAATCCGGTCCCAAAGGGGCCCACACGGGGACTGAGAAACAAGTGATAGACAAAAGTTGACTATCTATAAGAGCATCTCCATCAGAGAAGCATTCACTGTATACAAAAAATGTTTGTTTACATAGAAGAGAGAGAGCCAAGGGAGAAAAAGGTAAAATCATCCTTGTAAGGGGTTGACATATTTCTCTTCCCAGAAAAACGCTCACAGCACACGGGGGCATCTGACCATGCTTTTTAGATTATTTTTTTAATAAAAAATTAATTTTAGTTTTTTTTTTCTCTCTCCTCCCACATTTTCTTTCCTAATCACTTTTACAATAACCCCTTAATATTTCCAACTGATATTGATGTTTTAAGACAGCAAGCTAACATACTTTCTGAAGCAAGGCAAATATATCTGCTAACAAAGAACCAAACCTTTTTTTTGTGAATTGCAAAATTGGACACAACTTCCATTCTACAATAATCACAAGAAGTGGACTGGTGGAGCAATAATAATGTTACTGATCACACAGAATTCAGAAAATGTGTCTAATCCCTAAGGTGAACAAGAATATGAGAGACAAAAAAAAAAATGAACAGAGAAATGCAGATATGGTACCAAATGAAAGATCTATTTCCACATAGCACCCTACCCCAGTGTCCATGGCTTCATTGGCTTGAAGGCTTAAAGCCATAAATCACAGGGTGCTAACAATGATCATATCATAGGAAATGCTAGCTCTAATGTCAGTAAAAAGAAGAATTTTTTTTTTTTTAATAATTAGTACAAGATAAGAGCATGATCAACATTTGGCTCATAGAATTTATGCTGTCAATTCTCAGTCTCTTCCCACGTTTTGTCCAATAAATCAAAATTATTTTGTCCAAAGCATCAATAAAAGGAATAGTACGTTACTCATAGAGCATGTTAAGAGATTACTACATAGCACTAAAATTATGAAAATTCCCACAGAAAGGAGCCTAGGAAGACAATTCCATAAAAATACATAATCACTTCCACTTTTACTAATCTACATTATGAGTGAAACTTGAGACATTTAAATCTTGAATAACAGAAATCAATGGTTTTTCTTGAAGTTAATTTAAAGCACTAAGAATTTTACATGCTTCAAAAATCAACAATGGCCATTTAGTTTCACTCATATACATGGGCGGTGCCAGTATGAGGGCAGCTACCCCCTCCTCCATCCCACCTAACCCCTTATATATAGGGGACCCTTAGCTTATATATATATATATATATGGAAGGGTTCAGGTGCGGTAAAAACTCCCGTGCGGTTGTGTGGTTGACACACCTTAAACATTAAAATCTAAATCAATGGAAATTATTTTAAAAAAAAACGCGTGTCTGGAGGAAATGAGCTAAAAATGACGCATATTAAGTGATAGAAACACGCACCTTAAGTGTTATAACAACGCAATTTAAGTGTTAAAATGGCACACATTAAGTTTTCTTCAAAAGTTTTGTTCTTGAAGGTCTGAACCACCCCTAAGTTCAAAAGTTTTGTTCTTGAGGGTCTGAACCACCCCTCAGTTCAAAAGTTTTTTTTTTCTTATAGGTCTGAACCACCCCTCAGTTCAAAAGTTTGTTCTTCTTGAAGGTCTGAACTACTCGTGACTCACAAAGAAAGGTGTGCAAAGAAGAAACATGACGCACCTTAAGCACAAAACCCACGCACCTTAAGTTTCAACAACTACTCACATTAAGCACAAAACACACGCACCTTATGCACAAAAGTCACGCACCTTATGCACAAAACTCATGCACCTTAAATTTGACCTAGTTGCAAAAATTACTAAATTGCCACAGCGTTTTTTTTTGGTAATCCTCGACATTGATCTAAACAAAATCAATGGTTCTTCTCTTCCCGCACAATCACACATGGGGCTGCCACATGCACCAGAACCTAATTCTATATAGTAAATGTTTAGATATAAATAAATAGATATATATTTAAGTATATGTTTAAAGATGAAGTGCTTAAATGGTTATATATATATATATATATATATATATATATATATATATATATATATGTGTGTGTGTGTGTGTGTGTGTGTGTGTGTGTGTGTGTTTTTGTAGTAGAGATTGATTCTTTTTACATGATTAATTTATTTTAATCTTTACCTGATGAAATTTCTTACTCCGCTGCTCATATATACCCATTGAAAGCCATCATTTTTGTGTACGTTCATGCTCGAAAACGAGCAAGAATGGTAGTTATATTTATTTCAAAAAGATCAACTGGTGAAATTTATCTAGACAAAGCAACCTAGATGAATCCAAGAGCTATATTTATTTCAAAAAGATGGGTGAAATTTATCTAGGCGTGCAAAGCAAATGAATCCGAGAGCACCAATAGCAATTGAACTTATTTTATCACATAGACGTTTCTCAAATCTATGATTTTAGGCGTACAACTGCAGAGTTGCAGAAGCCGAAAATCATATGTACAACTGCGCACAAACAAATGGCCTCTGAAGAAGATAACCAAACTTTGGTATGAAATTGGGTAGGGGCCGCGCGAACGCAGGCCCCCTCTACCACAAATTATGACGTAGGCTCCACCTATAAGGTAGACCTTAGATTAACACCCTTCCAAAGTGCAATGGAAGTCATCAACCTAGGCCATGGGCCTTGCTGATCACCCATTGACCCCGTCCAGGTAAGTATGTTGCCCAAGAGCACTCGCCCCATTTTTATAACCTACTGCTCTGCTCTACTGTTTGTACTCAGCCGATGTGGGAATCCCTTGGGTATGCAAATGAACCACTCCTCCTTCTGCTGCTCTTTTCTTATTCATTTAGCTCTTTTCTTTTGCTGTTTTTCTTACTGGCATTTACAAAACCTAAATTTCTTAGAATATTCATTGTATCCACAAAAGTTAAAATGGTACCAAAACCCATATTCTCTCTCTCGCCCGGCGATCCATCACGAATATCAGGATCAGAGGCAAAATCGGACAACCATTTTAATATCCATCTAACATGTGCTGCTGACCTTTGTTCTCTGGTAAAGCAACCTTGTCTATGCAATCAGCGGAACTAATCTCTATTTCAGAATTTTTGTGACCCAGAATATTGAAGTCAAGTTCACTTGCTTGACTTAACACAAGAGAGAGGTTTTCAAGTGCAGATTCCTCAAAAGATCAGAGTCCCTTCAAAAGTGATTCCAGTCTTCTTGATCAAAAACAAATCTTCCATAGATGATCTATCAGTTATTTTTAAGTGCATATTCCTGTCCTCCGTTTTAATCATGAAAGTAAGATTTGCAGTGTTTGGGCCTGGGGAGATGTACCCGAGCTGTCGCTTTGAGTATGTGTTGCCGAGCATGAGTCCGGCAACACCGACCAATCGGCTTGGGGTAGCAACTTATATTACTCAAGCGTTGTCTTCAAATAATCGTGGTGCGCCTCCCGATTGTCACCCAGAGACACCAACTACGAAATTTGTGTTACAACTGAACTTACTAAGGAGAAATTTTTCAAAATTCATGTGTTTTTATTCTTTTCTTATACACAATTTTTTTAATTTATTTTATATATAATGCTACCCAAAAAACATGTAGTGAGAAAAAAAAAAAAAAAAAAAGAGCAGTTAATAGAATCACAAAAATAAGTTATTAATAAAAGCAACTTTGAAACAATCTAAAGAAAATTTAAATGACTACTTCCAAATAACCCACTTTTATGACAAGTCTTCTTAAGGATCACTTCTTGAATTGGGGAAACAGTGATGAAAATGAATTTTTTATATTACATTGTCAACATAGCAGCAGCCTGGAGTGCTGTTGATCTACAAGACCAATGATCTTCCACGTCCCCAAAAACCAAAAATAATAAGTAAACAACAAAGTGTGACAGTATATAGACTACAGAGTTTCAATAAAGACTCCAGTTCAACATAAGTTAAGTCACAGAAAATAACAAAAAGCACGACCGCTTAAAATCATAACCCGACGGTGCACCCCCGACAATGCTTGTGCTGGTGCACCGACTTAATTTACCACAAGACAATTATTGGAGAAGAGAATTCAATCATTCATTATAGTATAGTCAATAATACATTATCTTCTTCACTTCTTATTTATTTAAGTTTATTTAAATTTGATTTTTTTTGGTTTTCTCGAATATCTCAATTAGACATGCATTAATAATAATAAATAAATAAACTCAAATTGATTTTCATTTCTTGCCATACAAAACAATGAAAGAAAGGCAAAATAATGAAGAAACAACATCTAACATTTAAAAGCAAGACAAATAGTCATGCTTGTAATATGAGTAAAAAGCACAACAATCATGCAAGCATGAATTCAACACGAATTCTGCTCAATCCATTCTAGCTCTACATGAAATTTCAGAATATATTTACACACAATCTTGTGGTCAAAATTCACAAACAACATGCATATCTAATTGCACATATATGTACAAATAGGTCACACAAATAAGTATTTATTTAACTTGGCTTATTGGAGTAGTCGGTCAATCATTATACCATGAATCACTAATATACCCTCCCAAAATGCTCTGTCGGGCCGGGGTGTGGGGGGCCCTTAAGGTTGGGGTTCAGTCTTTTGGAATAATGAATCACTAATATACAAGTCTATCTTTAGTACACTAATATACTAATCACTAGTAAAATTAAAACAGCAAAAGATGAAAGCTTCACCTCTGGCGGCTCTGAGGATAATGTTAGCTATGGAACACAAAGAAGTGAATTTGTATTAGTAAATGAACTATATAAATTTAGAAACTAACTTAAAAGCTCTGTTAAATACAAAAAATTAAAATTAAAATTAAAAATCACAGAAAATATGCCAACAAAGAAAATTTAATTTCACTAATAAAAATTAAATATCATATATGTACTAGGTTAGATGGAATAATAATAATAATAATAATAATAATAATAATAATAATAATAATAATAATAATAATAATAATAATATTATTATTATTATTATTATTATTATTATTATTATTATTGTTGTTGTTGTTGTTGTTGTTGTTGTTGTTGTTGTTGTTGTTGTTGTTGTTGGTTTACCTTGTAAGGTAGACTATGGCCATGGTATAACAACTCTTTTGATGCTTGGGTTAAATTAAAGTCAATTCATATGGAAATCAATTGTTATACCATTGACCAAGTCCACCTTGTAAGGTGGACTCTAGTGCTAAATTATACTATATCTTTAGTATTGAAATTATGAATATCTAAAATATAAATTGTGTTTCGAAATTTTGAGAATTTGTGAATACAATACAAAGTCATGACAAATTGTGAATTTTTTAAAAGTAAATTGTAAACATTTAGCTATATTTCTATAGCTAACATTATTATTATATTATATAAAGGTAAATTGGGAACATTTAGCTATATTTCTATAGCTAACAATATATAAAGGTAAATTGTGAACATTTTTAATACACTAAAAATACATTATTTGTATATTGAATATACATTATTTGATAGTATACAATATATAGTATTTTCTGTATTCAAATAATGTACTTTATGTACACAACGATGAATTGCAGGAGCTCAAAATGTACATTATTTGTGTTTCTTTCTGATACAATTACAATTATTTTCTAATTTTGCCATTTCATAGTTTGCCTACAACATTTTAATCTTAAAGATGTGTTGTTGTTGTTGTTGTAACATTTCTATGGATTTTGTTGAAATTTATTTTCTCATTGTATTTTTAACAGCACAATTTTATTATAGTATTGTATAAAACTTTTATCTCAAATCTTATGTTTAATATTTTAAACCTTTTATTTCTTTGAGTTTCAATAAAATGAAGCAATTTATTATTCAACTACGACATATACTTAAATATTTGATAGTGTAAATTCTTGAACATTGAATAAGGGAAAAAAATGCAATTTTAGTTCTTCGATCAATTGTTTATTGCTAGCGATTTTAGTCTCTAATTGTTTACCATGGCTATATATATTCCTAACTCTTCAAAAAAGATGAATTTTTAACATAGCAACCGAACTATTAAACTCTATTAAAATTACCAATTGTATGCGACATTATAGTACAGTAAATTTGTATTTATTTTATAATTTAATTGTATACCTTTTCTTTAACATTGAGTATTTATTTATTTTAAGAGAAAAAGATCAAATAGCCCCCTAAACTTTACCCCAAAAGTCAATTAGGCCCCTAATTTTTTTTTTAAAGTACAATTAAATCCTCAAACATGTCAAATTGGATCAATGAAACTCAAAACCGGTAAAATGACCTGTTATTATCATCGGTCACCTTGTATTGCAGAAGGCGACCAGAAAGATCACATTCCCCTAAGAAGGCGCTCTGGTCGCCTACTCCAGGGGAAGGTGACCAACTGGTCGCCTTCACTAATACAAGGTGACCGGCGACAGCTTTGCCGTCGCCGATCGCCGAAATTTGTCGTTGGTTGTCAAAATTCGTCGTTGAAATTGAAATGACCTGTAATAACAGGTTATTTATCAATTTTTGGGCTTCATTGACCCAATTTGACATGTTTGAGGGTTTATGAGATTGATATATTGTACATTCAAAACAGATAATGGGTGAATGAGATATTGATTCTCAAAGTAGACCCATTGGAGTTGGAAAATGAAGGGAAAAAGTGTAGCTTTTGTCCCATATTGGTTTGGAAAGTGGGTTTGCACCACTATTTATACAAGAGCTTTTTTAAGACTTATTGAATTGTATAGCATAGATGCTCTCTCTCGCGCGTAGGGGGGGAGGGGGTTGGTACAAATCAAATCCCAATGTGAGCCTTCAAGCCTGAATTCGTGTACGTGGGCACGAATGTCGTCCGGAAATTGGTTGGTCTTGTGGGCTAAGTTATGCCAACCTTCCGGAACGGTACGTTCAGTTCGCTTCGCAAGCGGTACACGTCTTCCAGAATGGTACGGTTGCCTGTACTGTTTCAGTGACTGTTTGGAGGATTAATTCAGTTGTTATGGAATTAATTCTATATTAATTCCAGAATTAATCTCCATGTTAAATGGTCTGTTTTGAAGGATTTGAACATGGGTTTAAATGTCAAAGTAAATGCTATTTACACCACCTTCTTCTATATAAGAAGTAGTAGTAGCAGCAGAATTTTCAGTAGAAAAAGACATAACGAAATAATATTTTCAGCTCCAAAATCTCTGCTTCTACTCCTTTCTTAGCCTACTGTGTTCTAAACTTTGCTCTAGTTCGTCGGGTTAAAAGTTTGGGTGCTCAAATGTTGAATCGTAGTACATTTTATCCTGGGAAGCCTAGGCCACAACGCTCCTAGCACTTTTGGGAGGTGACAAATAAGGTTTTAAGGAATGAGTGATCGCTCGACTCGTGCTAAAACCTACACCAAACACGAACCACTCTTCTTTCTTCTTCGATTTTGGGATTATGCTTTTAAGCAATAAATCGTTACTCCGATTCCTTTTGGGTGGAATTATAATTTGAGGATTATAAATTTCATTTTGGTTGATATATATATTTTCGTGTATATATATATATATATATATATATATATATATATATATATATATAATATTTTATATACTTTCGTGTGTATATATAAATATTATTTTGCGATATTAAATCAACTTTGATTCATTATTTCCAACATTTAATCCATACCACTTCTAGATATGCCATATAACTGATCTTATTCAAACACACCCTTCTGCAGTTCATGTAGGGCCATAATCCCAAAGTGGTTGGAACATGTTACTACTAGTTGTTACATAGTAGAACGCCATGATACGAAAATTTTGTTAAATAATTATTCTGAACCTTCTTCACTTTTGTTTATTTGTAAACAAGCATTTAGGTCTTCAATTGTGATTTTTTTTTCACAAAAAACAAAAAAAAAAAAAAGCAAAAACAAAAATATAGCAGGTCAATCCACTTTATATTAAAAAGATCAAAATGTCCTTGCATTTAATGATATTTCAACGATTTTGATGACGGAGGACCACAATTGGTTGAACCATAATAATACTAGGACCAAAGAAAGATGTTCTAAAAAAAAAATGGACTGTCACCTATAAAACTAAACCAAAAATGGAATTAAGGACGTGTTTGGTTCGCATAAGGGAATCAGAATCGGAATGAGAATCAAATATTTGGTAATGGTAATGGCTTTTGGTGAAAATATTTTGCATGTTTGGTAGTATGGTGGAATTGAAATGATTATCAATATTGATGTTTTGTTATATATGACCTATAATGGGAATAAATGTTTTAGAAATACAAAAATTAAAAGTTAAGACAATTAATCCTATTATAATAACATTCAAAGCACCTATATGAACAAAATAAATCAAAACAAAAATCTAAAATCACTAATCCAAACTTAAAAATCAAACTACCAAGGGAGGAGCTGAGCTCTGGGGTTTTTGCAAGGGAATAAAGCAAGCTAAGGCCCTTGATTACCGCAGAGTTATCATCGAGTTAGACAGTGCGAAGGCAATCAAACTCATCAACGATTAAGAAGATTACATTGGTCAAGGGAGGAGTTTAGTGATGTTGTGCAGAGAAGCAAAGCACTGGGACTGGGAAATTTGCTTCAAGCATGCACCCAGGGAACAAAATAGAGCCGCTGACCTGATGGCAAATTAGGCCTTTGATGATGAAAGTGAAGATCGCGTATTCGTGCAAGCTACGGACAACATGTTGAGATTCCTGAGAGCTGATGAACTTGGTCTCTTGGGTAGTGATGTTAACGTGAGCGTCAGAAACTGACCTTAGGTAACCTCCTTCTTTTTGTCAAAAAAATAAAAAATTAAACTACCAATAGGATAGAATGATACTCGTGTTTAATTAAGGAATGATGTTTATAATTAAAAGGGTAGTTAAATCTCATAATTGTATTATAAAAAGTTGTTAACCAAACACTAACTATAGTTTTGATTCTCATTGCTAGTGTATAAACCCATGAACCAAACACACCCTAACTCTATCTTTAACCCAACTTTACAAAGTGTTGTAAACAAGTCGGAAGAACGTAATAATAATTCTACGAAAAAGGATTATTATTTTCTTGAAAAACTGGAAATTTCAGGGATAATCAACCACAGGGACGAAAGGGATTTTTGGATAGGTTTTTAATACGAGCCGAGTAGCACTTTCTCCTTAAAACCTTATTTTGCTGCCTCCCAAAGGTGCTAGGAGTGTTGCAACCTAGGTTTCTCAGAATAATTAAAACATACTACGATTCTATGTTTTGAGCACTCAAACTTAGAACCTGACGAACAAGAGTGTGGGAAGAACACAGAGGCTGAGGAGAAGGAAAAGCAGGCTCTGGTTGCCTTCGCCTGAGAAGGCGCTCTGGTCGCCTTCTCCAAGGGAAGGGGACCAACTGGTCGCCTTCACCAATAGAAGGTGACTGGCGGCAGCTTTGCCGTCACCGGTAGTCGAAATTTGTCATCGGATGTCGGAATTCGTCGTCGGAATTGAAATGAAATGTAATAACAGGTTATTTATCGGTTTTGGGGCTTCATTGACTCAATTTGACATGTTTGAGAGTTTAATTATAGTTTTTTAAAATTTAAGCGTCTAATTAACTTTTGAAGTAAAATTTAAAGGCCTATTTGACCATTTTCTTTTTATTTAAATTTTCATGTTGGACATTAATTTAATTGCACAATTTGAATATTATAACTAGTAGTAGTACTAATATACTCCGTACTTGCTAAAGCGTTTTGCCTTTTTTTAAAGATAGTTTGACAATTTCTTTGTAAGTATTTTGATTTCTTTTTCCGATAATAACTTTAGACAGATTCAAACACCCACTAAAATACGAAACCGGCGCAACCTTAAAATACAACAAATTTTATCCAATTACTGAATAACAACATTTTTTATTAATTTTTTCCATTATATTAACCATTTCACCACCTTTGACTAGCTACCTAATACGAATTCAATGTTACCCTACACTCTTATATTTATTTATTTTTTCCTTTGTATTATAAAAACAGTAATGCCACCTTCGCCATCATCTCCAATCTCTCTTCCCAATCATTACTGACCGTTGGATTAACATTATATTTCACCAATGAACATCGTACCCGTCGCCGGAAAGTCTCCACGGCGGGAGCTCCAAGGCCCCCGTCCTACGCCTCTCAAAGTCCGCAAAGACTCCCAAAAGATACGGAAGCCGCCGGTGGCGGCGCCGCCTCAGCAACCGCCGGCGACGGCCCCGCCTCGCCCTCCGTTGATCATCTACACCGTGTCACCCAAGGTTATCCATGCAAACCCTAATGAGTTCATGACGTTGGTCCAGCGGCTCACCGGCCCGGACTCCTCTTCCATGGCCGTGCAGCCATCGACGTTTGACGCCTTCCACGGCGGTTTTGACGACGGCGCCGTGTCTCCGGCGGCCCGGTTCGCTTCGGTAGAAAAAACCCGGTCCACGCAGGTGAGAAAACCGGACTTGGGAATGGTTCAAGGGATAGAGCTAAGCTCTGATACCGAAAGAAGCGGGGTTTTGTCACCTAATCCGGCTTCTCTCCCGCCGATACCGGCGAGTATATTTTCGTCGCCGTCCGGTCAAAACCCGGTAGGCTATTTCCCAGATTTAAGCCCGGTTTTCCATAGTAATAAAATCTACGACGGCTTAGAAACAAGTTTCATGTTACCTAGTCCTTCAGCAACTTTCATTTCTCCAAGAATTATTATTTCTCCAGGTACACCCTCTCTTGACCTTTTCAACAATCTCTTTGACCTTTAACACCATAGCTACACAAGAAAACTGCCCATAGAGAAAAGGCAGCCCTGCTGTTAAGCAAAGAACAACTTTTAATGATGAGAAAGGGGTTTTGATATACTATAAACATCTGGATTCTGGTGCATCTACAATGGTGAGGATAATGGATGAAGAAGATCGAAGAGTATTCAAAGGGAATTTCAGGGATTTTGTTCTTGAAGCTAAGAAGCCGTACTGGAGCAAGAGCCTCCCTTTTTCCATTCTTAATTGAAAAGATAATGTTAGGACAATGAAATATTTCTTTCTATGTTTTGTTGTAATTTCATCCTAGTTTTAGATGCCATCATTTTTGTTTTTTGTTTTTGTTTTTGTCATATAATTCTTGATTGTAGTTTGCAGCATATATAACAATGCTAATTGATTTAATTAATTTCTTCCAAGGTGTTTTTTTTTTTTTTTTTTTTTTTTTTTGAAAATTGATTAAAATAGACTTTTTTTTTTTTTTTTTTTTGGTTGTGACTACCATCTAACCTGGCAATTTATATCGTGGACCAGGGTCCACATAACATTATCGACCCTGGATCAAAACGACTTTGTTTTGATATTTAAGCTTTAACAGATTTTGTAGTTTTCTGTTTCTCATGTTTCAACACAAATTTTAATTTATTCTATCTAGGAGAAGAATCAATACTCTTAAGGTACAAGATTTCATAACAAGAGATACAAAAACTCACAACACAAGGCACATACACATGTTATATATTTACTTATTTTTAAATCTGATTTATGTAGATAATATTTCTTATAGGCACATAATTTCATAATACAAGACATAAATTCGTAAAATAAGACACACAATATATTGTGTGTTACACAACTACTAATCTTTTTCAAGTACATAATCCATACGTTTAAGATACATAATTGCATAACATGAGACACAAAAACGCATAACACAAGACACATAAACATGTTTTATATTTACTTTAGTTCAGGTACATAATTAATATTCTTAAAGTACATAATTGCATAATACTATAAGACACAAAAATGCATAACGCAAGACACAAAAGCGCATGTTATATTTACTTTATTTCAGATACAGAATTCCATAAAATGAAGCACAGAAACACATAACACAAGACACATACACATGCTTTACGATTGAAAAAAAAAAAACTATAACGTGAATTGAACAACAAACGGCCGCCATCAAAATTAAAATTTAAAATTACGTCGTTTAGGACTAGGCTCAACAGTGCACTGTGGATCCTGGTCCAAGGTATAACGATTGATCTAACCTATCAATAGTATTTGCGACAGTGATGTCATCAGACCAAAAGGTAGCATTTGAAAAAAATGTGAAGCTTTTCAAAACATAGAAAAAAATTCTTTTCAAAAATACATTTGAATTTAAAAATAAATAAATAATAAATAGATTTCATCAAATATATTTGTGAAATGCTTTAAATATTTTTATATAACAAATTAATTTTTTTTTTTGAACAAAACATCACACACTTCCATTACTAACTTAAATAATGCACGATACAAGATGGTGGGATATCAGTCCACACCCCTGAGACAGCCATAGAAACGGTCGCCCGAGCTAACTCATGAGCCACACGGTTCGCTGATCTCTTGACACGGGAGACACTAATATTCTCCATGTCGCTAGCAATCGACAGACATTGCTTCACTACTAGACCAACATACGAAAAGTCGGAATTACAAGAATTAAACGCATTACAGAAATTTAAGCAATCAGATTCAACGATGATATTTCTACGGAACTGCGATTTGAGCCATAACAACGCTTCTTTCACTCCAAGAACCTCAGCCATATATGGGTCATCTACATCCTTCAAACGCCCACTTTTAGTCGCAACAAAACGACCCTCGGAATCCCGCACCACTGCACCAAAACTTGCGCCGTCCCCGGATAGTGCAGCATCAACATTGCATTTGAAAGTATGCCTTAGAGGTGGAGACCAGCTAGCCGTCTAGATTGTAGCCGTAGGTTGGGCAGTATATGTCTCTTTCCAGCTAAGTTGTAGCCACAATAGCTGCTCACGGGCTACCTCAACTGATGGTTGCTTATTATGCCACACCACATCGTTGCGTAACAATCATATAGTCCAACACCCTGCTGCTAGGTGCACCGCTATATCCACCGATGAACCACCAATCACCTGAGACATATAGTTGAAAGCATCTCTTCCCCACAGCACATTCTCCTCATCCTAGACCTGTTCCGCAAAAGCACAACCATAAAAGAGGTGTTCTATGGTTTCCGAGACAAAGCCGCACATCGGGCAACCTCCACCTAACCAAACTCTCTTTGTATGCAGAGTATCTCGAACCGGCAAAATGTTGCGAGCACAACGCCATAGGAAGTTTTTTTTACCTTTGGAGGGATTGGCAGTGCCCATAACGCCTTCCACGCAAGGAAGCCGTGAGTGTCATCGTGTCGAGCCACCTCGCCTACTAACAAACGATAACCATGTTGGACCGTGTAGCAGCCTCGAATGTCTCCCTTCCACCGCCAACTGTCACGAAAATGGTTACTCACCGGGGTTGCTAAAATTCTGGGCACATATTCCGCAAGAAAAATATCCCTGAGAAGATCAACATCCCACCCCCTGGCCTCGTTCAAGAGGCTGTGCACCTTGGCCTCGCGTAGCTGCTCCACACACGGAGTATGAATCTGTATATTAGAAGGACCTGCAAGCCAGTCCCAACCCCATATCCTTGTGTCACGGCCATCATCGATTCGGCGAGCAACGCCCAATTGTAAAGCTCTCCCCCCGGCAAGGATACTACGCCTAATGAAGCTAGGATTCTGCCCAATTTGTGCGTCCATGAACCCCGTCGTAGGGTAGTATTTTGCCTTTAACAAGCGGCTCACTAAGGAATCTGGATGAATTAAAAGTCGCCACCCCTGTTTGGCCAAAAGAGTTATGTTAAATTCGTGTAGTTTCTTGAAGCCGAGCCCGCCCTTCGATTTTGGAGTACACATTCTACCCCAGCTGAGCCAATGAATCACTCGACTTCCTGAACTTCCACCACCCCACCAATAACGGTTAAACATCTTCTCCAGAGAATCACAAACACAAACAGGTAATAAGAACACCGACATAGTAAAAATCGGTAGAGATTGTGCTATACTCTTTATCAGCACTTCTTGACCTACACGAGAGTGTATCTTGTTTTGCCACATCCCAATTCTTGCCCGGATATTCTCTTCAATATATTTAAAAATTATAGTTTTGTTGCGTCCCAAGACCGACGGAAGGCCCAAGTAATGCCCCAAATCCACCGCTTCGGGCACCCCAATGAGCCTAGATACCACCTCCCGTAAAGGCACTGTCGTGTTATGGCTGTAAATTGCACTGGATTTCTCAAAATTGATAAGTTGTCCCGAGGCCATACTGTAAATTTCAAGACACTCTTTTACAGTTAGTACCTCCCGTTCATTTGCCCTGAAAAAGAGTAAACTATCGTCAGCAAAAAAGAGGTGGGTGATGGTCGGGGCTCCCCGCACCACCCTCACACTGTGAATGTCCCCCCGGGCCTCCGCCTGTTGCAGAAGGATAGACAAACCTTCTGCACAGATGATGAAGAGGTAAGGTAATAGAGGGTCTCCTTGTCGGATACCCCTGGTAGGACGTCCTCGTCCCGCGACATCTCCATTTACCATAATAGAATAATTCACAGACGTGACACACAACATAATCATCTCTACCCACCCACGCTCCAAACCCAACGCCCGCATCATGCCCTCTAAAAAGGGCCACTCCATCCTATCGTACGCCTTAGCCATATCAAGCTTTAACGCAGCCCACCCTTGTGCCTCCCCCCCCCCCCCCCCCCCGGTTTTCCTCCGTAGGTAGTGACCTATCTCCCCGGCCACAATGATATTATCCGTGGGTAAACATTCAGGAACAAACGCACTCTGAGATTGGGAAACAATCTGAGCTAGACACCCCTTTAACTTATTGGCAAGCATTTTGGCTAACACCTTATACACCACATTGCACATAGCGATTGGAAGTAAGTCCGACACTTTCTCCGGTACAGGCTTTTTAGGAATTAGAACAATATTAGAATCATTCAACTCCGGTGGAAATTGCTTGTGTTCCACACAGTGTAGAATGAACATGGTTAAGTCATGCCCAAGGACCGGCCAAAAATGCAGGAAGAAGGCCGGTGACATACCGTCCGGCCCGGGCGCCATTTCCGGTTTCATATCGAATAAGGCAGATTTAACGTCTGCCATTGTGAACGGTTGTGATAGAGAGATTTTCATCTCGTTTGTTACACGTTCCCGAACCCGGTCAAACAAATTAGCAGTGCGAGGGCCAGAACAGAAAATGTGTTCAAAATACCTGATTATCTCTGAGTTCATAGCCGTCCCCTCGGCCCACATGCCATTCTGATCTTTGACACGGGACAACATATTGTGCTTTCGTCGTGCCGTTGCCGACCTGTGGAAATATTTCGTGTTGGCATCCCCGTGTTTTAACCAAAGCTGCTTGGATCGTTGTTTCCAAAAAACTTCCTCCGCTTTCATAAGAGCCGCGAACTCCCTCTCCGCCGCCAAAAAAATGGCCACAGCGTGAGGCGTACGATCCTCTTTCAACTTAGCCAGAATGTGCCGAAGTTCTTTGCTCCGTGCGCCAAATTGCCGATGATAATCCCCACCCCATTTTGAAAGACGCTCGCCACAAATAGCTATTCGGTCCTGAAAATTCATGCCAGTGGACATGCGTCATGCTTCATCCACCACTTTCGCACAAAGTGCTTGTAAAAGCCACGCTGATTCGAATCTGAATTTGCGTAAGGCTGTTCATACAGGTTTTGTATGAAGGTCGACAAGAAGAGCGCAATGGTCGGATGAATTAGTATAGATGTTCTTAACCACCGCCCCATCATGCATTTCCAACCACTCCACCGTTGCCACGACCCTGTCTAACCTCTCTTCCACCCACGTATCTGTTCCTCGACCTTTCTCCCAAGTGAAACGCCCCCCCGTCATCCCCATATCAATGAGCTCGCATTCACCCAACACATCATTGAATTCCATCATGTATGCGTAAATGTTAAAATCATTAAGGGAAAATAATCAAAAGTGTAATTAGGATCTTGAACTTTAAAAAAGTACAATTAAACACTCAAATTTGTCAACGGTTGTATGTGTTGTAAATAAATATATGTGGACATTACTAAAGTTATTATACTATGATATATAAACCCCTCATCTTTTTATAGTAATATCCTAGTTATACTCGAAACTCTGTATATCTTATATAAATTGGAATTGAAAAGATGATTAATAAAGATCGATCATTCTCTATGTATTCTTGTCTCTCTCTTTACCTTATTGCATTCCTGAGATGTAAGCGATGCACTATGATACATTATCAGCACGAATGTTTTACATCTTCGGAGAACGGTATTTTTCTGACAAATTCAAATCTTCATATAAAATTTGTTGGGGTATCAATATGTACAAATTTTAGTATCGTTTGAGGCCAAAGAAATTTGCATAACATAATTGGTTCATTAATATGATTAATTATATGAATACGAAAGGAACAGTGAAGTATGTGAATGTATAAGTTTGTTTGTGCAAATTGAATGTAATGATGACAACAGGTTTGGCAAAGTCAATATGTGAGCGTATAATACGGAAATTGAATGTATAAGTTCATGGTGTCTGTTTCCATGTAGCCAAATCCGTTTGGCAACCACTGCGGCGGACGGTGGTGTCTCATCTTGCAATAGTTATGCCATGAACTCGAGTTTACTTTACAAGATAAATTCAAGTCAAAATACATATTTTATATATTGAATGTTCGTAATTTATATACTATATTATGTAAATTGTGAAATTTAGTAAATAAATTGTAAATATTTAATACGCAAATTTTGAACATTCAACATATAAATTGTGAACATTCAGTATAAAAATTGTGAACATGCAATATATAAATTGTGAATATTCAATATATAAATTTTGAATTTTGGACCTGGGTCCACCTTGCAAAGTGGACCCGGGTCCACAGAATTTCCTTAACTTTTTACTTATTAGTTTGTGAAGAGTTTTACCTAATAACGACATATTTAAGTTGTTACAAGAGGAGAAAGTATTGCATTCTCACCAAACCTTGGTTTAAGAAGCACAAGGAAATCAGTCGTTATACCCTACACCATGGCGCGCATAGCACTGTGCGCCGCGCGCCTCCCAAAACGACGTCGTTTTGGTAGGCGCAGTAGGAAGTTGTTGGGATTATGTGTATTTGTTCACACAATTATGTGTATTTGTTCATACAATTATGTGTATTTGTTCATACAGTTATGTACATTTTTTATACAATTATGTACATTCTTTTTATACAATTATGTACATCCGAATCAGAAAATTTGTGTGTATTATGTTAAGAGTTGATGTATATTATGTTAAAAGTTTATGTTTATTATGTATTATGTTAGATTATGTGTATTATCTTTTAAAAAGAGTATGTATATTTTGTTATATAATTATGTACATTTATGTATACAATTATGTGTATTCTAGTATAACATTATGTACATTTTTGAACAGCGGATTTTTTTTAAAGAAAAAATTACTGCCATTCACTGGGGCGGGAAATTTCAAAAAAAAAAAAAAAAAAAAAAAAATTAAAACGACGTCGTTTTGCATCTGGGTGCACAGTGCAACGCGCGCCGTGGTGTAGGATATAAATTGCCCAAGGAAATACAACATGCTATCAAACTTACCCTGATTAATTAATTTACAAGTGCAAATGCTTCACAGGTGCTTTTATTTTTTTTTATATTTTATTTTATTAAGATCAATTTTATAATAAATTTTTTATACAATGTTGCCTAAAAAAACATTTATCTGTAAGTGAAAAGAAAAAAAAAAAAAAAAAAAAAAAAACAAACAAACAAATTGAGCAACACCGCAACAGCGAACTCATTTGTATTTAAATAGAAATATTTTCTTAACCAACGCACGGAAGTCGTTGTAGTATAGTGGTGAGTATTCCCGCCTGTCACGCGGGTGACCCGGGTTCGATCCCCGGCAACGGCGTAGCATTTTGTTTAATCTTTCATGCATGAATCCCAGTTTCTCCACTTTTGCGATTTCTTGGCAGTGTAACTAAAAAATCCGACCTGCCGGATTCGAACCAGCGACCTAAGGATATCAGCTTACACTCAACTACAGTCCTCCGCTCTACCAACTGAGCTAAGGTCGGAATTGATTACTAGGCCTAGAGTCAAACTATATAATTGATGAGAGTAGACAGAATTGTAGCATTATATAATAATAATATACTCCGTATAATCTAAAAAGAGTTAATACCCAAAATCGTCCTCGACTGTAGTGGTTTTTCTCAATTTCATCCTAAACGACTTTGGTGACCTAATATCGTCCCAGACTTTTGTGTTTCGCTCAATTTAGTCCCAGACTTTTGTGTTTTTGCTCAATTTAGTCCCTCATTTGTTATTCTGTCCATTTGGTGTTAAATAAATAGACAATTCAGTAATTTTAATATTGGCATCTCTTTACTCATAGACATGTGAACTGCGAAATCCCTTTTTTTTTTTTACGAATTACTGCTAAAACTGCGAATATAAAATTTGATTTGCAGGTCCGAGAGTAATTCTGCGTGTAATTCGTACAAGAAAGAGGAATTTCACACTTCACAAGTTGAAAGTAAAGAGAGATCAATATTGACATTACTGAATTGTCCCTTAATTTAACACCAATTTGACGGAATAACAAATGGAGGACTAAATTGAGCGAAACACAAAAGTCTGGGACGATATTAGGTCACCAAAGTCGTTTAGGACGAAATCGAGAAAAACCACTATAGTCGAGGACGATTTTAGGTATTAACTCAATCTAAAAACATAATAAGTTTCAATCCAAATTAGGTTCAAATGTAATAAGTATAGACTAATTTGATGCATCCATCTAGGATAATAAAAGGCTAAAAAATCGAGTCAATTTTATAAATATTTGTATAAGAGAATCAACTTAGGGATTCCATACATCTATTTCTTTACAGTGTTATTTATACTACTAGTAATTACATGTGCATTGTGCGAATAGTTCAATGCCTAATATGTATTTTTAAATTAGTATTTCAGAATTTATCAAAGTATCATTCGGTATCTTGATGTATAACAATACAAGATTATCATATTTTTCATAAAAGGAAATATTTCAAGAATTCATATCTATGATATGTGGCATAATTTTTCATAACATTAACTAGTCAATAGCAATTTTAGAGGGAAACAACCTCACTAGATAGTACCAAACATAATTTAGAGGGAAACCTTATTAATTGGTGTAATCCATGCTTCCTCTTGTTGCCACTCCCGCCAGCAATAATTCTTGATTTAATCTAGTTCCCTGGTTTGCATCACTGCAATTTTAGTGCTTCAACGCAGTGCACCTTCAAAAATATAACCAAATTATCCTTCCCCAAAAAGACAATGATAATAGGCATAGTTTCTCATATGTGTTGAATATACACTGTAAATTAGGTGTACCATTTCATCAATGCCAATGCGTGATTCTAATTAATTGACCAAAGCTCATGTTAATAAATTTTATATTGTATTTTTTAATATAGGTACTCTAACATATTCATAGACTAGGCGAAGGCGTGGCGACTAGCAAGCCGATGAACTAGAGAGTAGTGAAGTCGCGGCGAAGCACCGGCTGACCGGAGTGACCGGCGATTGTAGATGAGTGTCGATGGTATTGGAAGAATAGGTAGATTTGCATAGAATATTTGTTATTTATCGATTGTCGAAGTAGATTAATTGTCGATTGCCCATTGTTATTTGGTTTCTATGCTTTTAATAACTTCATTATGAAAATCAATGAGTAAGTTAAGAATAATAAATAGTTAACGGAATATTCCGTGACTAGAGTTTACACTGATGGAATGCACTAGTATTAAGAAAATGGTAATAGATGATAAAATAGGAAAAAAAAATACTAAAATTAAAATAATATGAACCATTCATTTTAATAAACAATTACACTAACATTTTTTGTTTCTGTTAGGGGTCTAACTTTATTGGATCTTATTAGATTTGTAGATTGTAGAGGTAGATATCACATATTGTCTATAAGATAACTAGTTAAATGAAGCGCGTTGCGCAACTAAATAAATGTTCAATTTTAAAAAATAATTGTATAATTACATTATCAATAAATATAAAATTACAATATTTTCAGGTACAATTGATAATTAAATTGTTAATTAGTTTATAATTTTATATTTTATATCTATTTATCATATCTTATCTAATTGTAACAAAATAGTTGAATAATATATTAACCAGGACTATGTGGTCTAATGGTACTCGGGTTGGACTTCCATTTGAAAGGTTGTGAGTTCAAGCCTCAGTGAAGGATCTACTACAATGTAATAGAGCTAGTAGCATTCAAAAAAAGTTGAATAATATATTAAGTAATTGAGATCATCATTAATCATAGTCAACATCAATCAATTTACACTATCAAATATATAATTATATGTAGTTGAATAATAAATTACTTCATTTTATTGAAATTCAAAGAAATAAAAGAAAAAATATTAAATTTATTTTTAACCATCACAATATTTAAGCTTAGATTTTTTTTTTTTTTTTTAAGCTTGAGCTAAGAGTTTTATTTAGACTAATACTATAAAAAAATTATGCAGTTAAAAAATGAATTGCAACAAAACTCATAAATAGGTAAAACAACAACAACAGCAACTCAAAATTGAAATGATATAGACAAAATTAACTAGAAAATTATAAAGTTAAAAGGTATTTGTAAATATACAAAAAATAAAGTTCAATGTATAAGTTATCAATGCAACCAATTTCATGTGAGATGAACATAGGTTCTACATTTTCAATTAAACGATGTATTATTAGGAGATAACAATTTGACGAAAATGATCATGAAGAGGAAATGCAATCACTTGAGGAATCCTTTAGAGTCAATTATTTTCTAATTGTTGTGGATATGAAAATCGCTTCATTATATTGAATACTAGATTTGAGCAA